ATGGGAGGCGAGGACCATATCCTGTAGATTTACAAGCATGTAGAAGAACTACGCTTTTTTGGTGTTCTTTTTGTCCATCCGCGCTTGGAAATATTTAAAGTCACGGGATTGGTCTCCGTGATACAGTATCAGTATAACTATATTAGTTTAAACAATAAGAATAAGAAAAAATTTTAATGCCAACTGTATACTTGCAAGTCCGCTTGCAACAACAACAAAAGGGGTTATAAATAGAAAACCCAAGCACTCCACAAACCCTTGCCATAACAGCCTTTTCTTTTTTGGTCAGAATGCAGCGAGTATTTTTGGATTATCTTGATTGTTCCTTGCTCGAATTTTTCAGTTAGGTCAACCATTGTTACGCTATAAGCAATAAACTGATTACTATTGCCAACTCTAAACAACAACAAAAAAAAAAAAAAAAACTTTGATTTCGCGATCTCAACCGCTGTTGATGTTAATATGCTACTTGTACAACATGATACCCTGTCGCACTTGGTTCATCAAATTTGGTTCGCGTATGTTGTGCCATCTTACTTCTATCGTTCAGTATACAGCATCTACCAAAACTACCGGCTCTCATCAAAACTAAGGGACCGCCCTCCCTACGTAACTGACTAGTATAGTGGCTTTTTTGAAAGGAAAGTTTGTCAAGCTGGGTTCTCAAGTGTCAACTAATGATGGGGTGCAGCCGGAGGTTAATGACTACAGAGACAGTAGTAGACTTTCTGGGGATTCGCCTGCTTCCGACCGGTCCACCTCTAAACTAGCAGGTAAAAAAGCAGATTCAAGCTCTACCTGGAACAACGGCTACTATAAGCACAACAATATCTCCGCCTCGAGTTTAGGTAAAAAGAAAAAAGGTACAGCCTTGCAGATTGGTAGTCCGACTGAATTTGAGCACGGCCTTCATGTTGAATATCACCACGAGAGCGGAATGTTCTTGGTAAGGATTGATGTAATCTAAATGTCCGAGACTTTATGTAGAGGTCCGAGTCAGCCGGGGTATTATGAATTGTAGACTTGACTTTACTAGTTCTTAAGTTGAGCTCGTTAACATTTACTTATAGAGGGAAGTTTTTTATGTAGGGTCTGCCAGATGTATGGCAAAATACGGTGCCAAGTGACGAGATAGTGAATACTCGGTACATTAATCCCAATCTCGTACCACGCCCTGGGTCTTCTGGTAAGGTTTCTTGGTTCACTGTAAAATGTAAATTTGTATTTGCGACACTTGTGATTGAGCATTACAACTTTTGCATCAATCTTTGTTTTAGAAAAAACAGAGATAACTGGGAAGAACATAGGTACTCCATTCAACACAAAACATGTTGTTCATGTTAGTGTTAATGAGCATGGTATCATGGTATGTTAGAGTTAAAGCTGATCCTTTGCTATTTAAGCACCAAGACGGCTTTTTTGATAATTACTAGAAATATATGTATACGCACACCCACATAACACACCCACACACATACATACACACACACACACATATCTATATTAGGGCTTACCTCCGGAAATGAAAGCTAGTCTAAAATCTGCTGGAATGAGAAACGAAGAGTTTAAGCGACAACCAGGAAAGCTTACACAACAAAATAGCCTACATGATTCTCGTTCTAAAACAGCGGCCAGCCGCTTACAAAATCCTGTGCATCAGCGCTCTATATCTCTTGGCACGCAAGACCGTGATGGTTCACAATTACATTCGCCAACGGAACCCGCATTCACACGCAAAACATCCGCAACACACTTATCTCTTCGAAAGAATTCGGCTACATCAAAGTTTAATCATTTGAACGAACCGACTAATGGCATATCCAGTAAGGCCGGGTCACGAAAAGGATCAACATCGTCGCAAGGTTCAGCAAAAGAATCACAATCTCCTACTTCATTTAAGCAAGCCACCTCACCATCCCAGTCTACGTCAAGGCGGATTCCACCGAAAATGACTATTCAATCAGTATCGACGCCACATCAAAATATATCTACACCTTCTCAATCACCGAGGAAAATTGTAGTGGCTGGTCCCAGTCTCTCTAGGGACCCGAACAGTCCTCAGATCACATCGAGAAACAAGAGTGTTTCGCCTGATACACTACGGGATCTGCCATCATCACCACTTCCTTACGAACGAACTTTCAGTAATGGTTCTCAGATCACATCGAGAAACAAGAGTGTTTCGCCCGATATATTACGGGATCTACCATCATCACCACTTCCTCACGAACGAACTTTCAGTAATGGTTCTCATATCACATCGAGAAACAAGAGTGTTTCGCCTGATACACGGGATCTGCCATCATCACCACTTCCTCACGAACGAACTTTCAATAACGGTTCTCAGATTACATCGAGAAACAGGAGTGTTTCGCCCGATATATTACGGGATCTACCATCATCGCCACTTCCTCATGAACGCAACGGTTCTCAGATCACATCGGCGAATAAGAGTATGTCACCTGATAGGTTACGGGGTCGGCCAACGTCACCACTTCCTCACGAACGAACTTTCAACAATGGTTCTCCGATCACGCCGACAAACAAGGGCGTTTCGCCAGATATAATACGGGATCGGCCATCGTCACCACTTCCTAACGTACGAACCTTCAACAACGGCCCACCCTACGAAAATAGTAATGGACACATAACGCCAAGAAAGACACCCAATGAATCACAGTATGCACAAAGACTATTGAGTTCGCCTGTTTTTCCACCAGAGAGGAGAGGATCAGCGTCTCCTTCGAAAGATAGATTTGGTCCTGTTCCGCAAGATAATATTAATACAGATAATCGCGCAAAAACGTTTTCTAATAACATACCGAATATACAATGGGATCGAATACCTCCTCCACCAAAAGACATTCCAAAGCTTCAAGCTCCGCCGATCAAGGCTAAGCAAATCCCATTACCCAAGGAAATACAACATCTTGGTTTGTACCATCGTTAAGAATTTGTGGCATAAGCTTGTGATAAAGCCGTTACATGTACTTACGCATTGATTTATATAGCTGATATCTTGGACAAGGGTGATCCAACACTGTCGTACACAGATTTAACCCAAATAGCTGAAGGAGAATCTGGTGATATGTATGCTGCACGAAAGGCAGACAAAGTGGTACGAGTTACTTTGGGACTTGAAGAAATTTGTTGAAATAGACATGGACATGGACTAACATGCTACGTTTCAATAGGTTGCTATCAAGATTATACCGTTTACAAGTACGGCAAAATTGAGCATACTAAAGAATGAAGTCTCACTAATGAAGATGAACAAGCATATCAATATAGTTGAATGTCTTGCGTGCTGTTCTACAAAGGAGGCTGTATGGGTAAGTCCATGAGATGCTCGTAATGTCAATTAGGGACATACTACTTAATTTCTATTTCGCAAATTTACATGACTATTATTGTTTTTTTTTTTAGGTTATTATGGAATGCATGGATGTATCGTTAGCAGATCTTATCCTAATGCATCCAGATGGACCACGTTTTACTGAACCGCAAATATCGACTGTAGCTCATTCAATATTACAAGCTCTCATACATTTACATAAAGGACATTGTATTCATCGTGATGTTAGGAGTGATAATATATTGCTGGATGCACATGGAAATATAAAACTCGGTAACGTATTTGCAAACAGAACCTCCCTCCACCCCTTTTTTTTTCTCCGAAAATATTTGGTTTAATTAACCTGTTTCTCATGTAATTACGCGTTTAGCCGATTTTGGTCATGCCATAAAGCTTGCTGATGCAAATGCCCGACGAAATTCTGTCGTTGGAACAACGTTTTGGATGGCACCGGAAGTTATAAGAGCAGCCCAATATGACACAAAGGTGAGTGTTGGTCCTAATATTGTAACACGTTTATCTTAACTAGTCGTTAATTGACAAGTCGGTTTTCTGTTTAGGTTGACATATGGAGTCTTGGTGTTGTATTAGTTGAAATGGCCGAAGGTAATCCACCATATGCTGAACATCCCCCATTAAAGGTACGGTCGGTGTATTGAACGAACGACTCCAAAAAATTTTAAATCAATTACTAACATAGTGGCATTATCAGGCATTGGCACTAATCGCCCAATATGGCATACCGCCGCTAAGTAAGCCAGAAAAATGGTCAGCGGAATTTAAAGACTTTTTAGCACTATGCACGGAAATGGATAGTAATGAACGGAAAACAGGACAGGAACTTGTGACAGTAAGTTTTGTATATTTTATGCGAGCACAGTAGAAAACTATGGCACTAATACGGTTTTGTATGTCTTTCACAGCATGCTTTTCTTGAGAAATTAGCAGATAGCAGTGAGTTCAAGTCGATGATTGAGGAGTTTCACCAAATGGAGGACAATGCGGGTGAAGAGGAGGGAAATGAGGAGAATGAAGAGGATGAAGATGAGGAGGGGGGTGAGGATGAGGATGAGGATGAGGAAGATGAGGAAGTGTTAGAATCCATTGAATCAAAGAGTGACATTGACAATATATCAAAGAGAAAAAATCATATTACTGCTACAGAGGAAGACGAAGATGATGCAGACTATTATGTCAAGAGTTTGACGGGTTATTTAAGTGAATCTTAATTTATTTCACATAGACAAAAATTGCCTTTTAACAATGTGTCTTGGGAGGAGCGTTAAAGACTTAATTTACTAATCGATACTACGCCTTAATAAGTCTTCACACCTCACATTTTGTAAGATAAATTACTAATTAAATAACAAATGCTGTAGTGACTTATTATGAATTAATTTTTTTGTCAATGAAGAACTAGTTATTTAGCGGTGTGAACAAAGAAAACGTGATTAGAACTTAAAACTGGGGTGGGGAAAGCTCTTTTGATACGTAGTAATAGACGTCTAAGATTATACGCGTTTAATGTTCTAAGCTAACGCCTGCCTGTTCCCAATATTATCGTTACTCATTTGACAATAATAATAACCTTGGTTATTATTTACATTATATTACTTATATATTGGCTACGACATTTTCCGGGATGGGAAGGGATTTCAGATGTTATATGGATGGGAACACAAAGAGTCAAAAAACGTAACAAATAATTCGATTTTTTGTAATTTATTAAGTCCATGATGGAATGCATATAAAAAGCGTCAGGAAAATACTCGGATCCATACGATAACATTATTAACTTGACACTTTATTATCTTTCTCGTCTCTTATTTTTTTCCTGCGGCTACCAACATTCTTTTTCGCAACAGTTCCATTCAGTAGTCTATGCTTTTTCTTTTGAATTTCTTTTGCTGATCCAAAGTGTGAATCGTGAAGATGCTATAAATCAATATAACGTTAATGCGAGAAATGCACAATGTAAAATAAAAGCGATGGTAACAGGTTTAATTACATACCATTGTAGCAGCACGCTTGGCATCGGCCACTTTGTTCAACATATCCAATACTTTATTTTCATTTACTTCCCACTCATCCATTTTCTTATCTGCTTAATAGATGGGCGAATTCAGATATTATATTTAAAACAGAAAAACCAATTTCGAGCTGATAGGGAAAAAACCTACTTATGCGTGATTCAATTTTATGCACAAGTTCAATGTCCTGCTCAGTAACAAATGATATAGAGGTACCATCACGTCCTGATTATGGATGATGGTGTGATGTTAGAATAACTTGCAATCTCACATAGTTTATATAATAATTGCACGTCTCTTCCCATCATCAGTCACCTGCTCGAGCTGCTCTTCCGACACGATGTATATAATCAGTTGAATCGCTTGGAATATTATAATTGATAACTAACTGTACCGTTGGAATGTCGAGACCACTATTAACAAATAAAAGGTTGGGTCAGTTTATACAGATTTTAATCAAATGTTATGCAATCGCGTCACTTACCGACTACCAACATCGGTAGCTATTAACACTTTGACTGCTTCAGCTCTGAATTTGCCAAGACTGTTTAGTCGCTCTTTCTGACTCATTACTGAATGCAGGCTTGCACATCTTATATCTAATTTAGAGAGCATCACTCTCAGCAACTCGGCTGTTCTGCATCTGCCACAGAATATGATGGTCGACTTTCCGTTTAGTTCTTCTCGATTTAGCAGATATACCAGGTATGGCTCACGTACGTGGGATGGGATAAACACGTAGTACTGTGTCAATGATGATACGGTGGACATACTGCAGCGTATTAGTAATCGCGTATAGTATATACATCATGGCCACATCATAAGCGTTACATGCGATCACCATAGTCTACATGACATTTATGGCGACAACAATAAGCCACTACAAAAAATGTTGATTTTCGCCGTATAGATCTCCATTTTTTTTTCCGCAGCATTAAAGGTCGCGTAAATGTTAATACATACTCAAGACGGTTATCTTATGTATATACGTACTTTGAATTAACTTGATGCACAAATGGCTTCTTCGTCTCGTCCTCTTCACTTCCTAGTGCAAGGATGCTATCTGTCATCGTAGCAGTAAATAGCAGTGTCTGCCTTGTTGTTGGAACGTTGTCAAATATTATGGACAAGTCATTAGAAAACGTGGGGGATAAGAGACGGTCAGCTTCATCAAGGATCTATATTAATACATATCTGCGTTAATAATATGATAACCAATACATAGCAGGTGGAAGGGGAAAAAACGTAACAGAGAATTAATTACCAGAAAGCGTATTTTTTTCAAATAAACCGAATCGCTGCTGTTTCTTATGTGATCAACTAATCGACCAGGTGTAGATATTACAACATGAGGACGCCGCGATAGCTCTATCGCCTGCTCAATCATATTCATCCCGCCGACGACAATACATTCCTTCAGATTGGTAGTCTTTCCAAGAACACGAAATTGATCAGCTATTTGAAACGCTAATTCTCTATATGAATGGAAGTGGTTGGGGGGGGGGGGGGGAAGAGTTAGGGAGAAATACACGCTGGGAATTAACACTTATCAGAGTTGAAATATATGGAACGTTGACAGCTAGTATGATTTACCTCGTAGGCGTTAATACTAGTGCAAATATGCCATATGGATCCTCAGACAATTTCTGAAGTATGGGCAATGCAAATGCCAATGTCTTACCAGATCCCGTATTGGCGCCTCCAATACAGTTTCTTCCTGCCAGTATAGGAGGAATGCATGCACTTTGTATTTCAGTAGGGTATTTAATTGACATAGCTCTAAGGGCTTCCACGAGCCACCCATCGATACCCAATTGCTCAAAAGACATTTTTGTAGTTAAAATTCGGAAAAATCTGAGAAATATTTTTATATATTTAGGTAACGCAAAATTACTGTAACAGGTAATAAATTCACAGTCAACCCCATTAATTACTCAGGCCATTCTCTACTTCCGTAACCTCATCTCCTGGGTCTGGTAATACTGCTTCACGTGGCATTACCGGAGCGGGCTCTCTCAGCAATCCGTAATTGAAAATGATTTCTTCTTGAGAAATTACTTGAGAATTCAAAGTTTTGGATGATGGTATTTTATACACGCCTTGTATCGCTTGACAGTAGAATACCGGTAGACTCTACTCTTATCGTGAAAAGTGACTACGAAAGGAATGAAAATCAGGGATATTAATCAGCACAGCTAATTGCTTTACGAGGGAATGTGATTTGTTTCGGCTTCTTTATATAATGGTAAAAGTAATATTATATAATTAATCTTTAGAAATCGGACGAGAATTCGTTTGCTATTGAAAAACACGCCTCGTTTGATCGCGCGCGCGAATCTCTTGGCCTGGGATTTGGCAATATTTCATTTGATAACAAGCCAATCACCCATCGGCATCAAATCCGTACCCAAGCCTGTGAATCAATGGATGCCATTATAACTTTGGCAATGTTGTATGCTAGCGAAATTGGATTGGGAAAAGACAAAGGCAGCTTCGGATAGTACTAAAGGTTCCTACGTAGGAAAGTTTGGAGACTGAATAAATTGCTTCAACCATCACGTCGCACATCGCGGTATTTCTTTCGCCGAGCTTTTATGAATTTGTCTTGGTTATTTGTCTTTTGCTAATTCTTTTCTTCTTTTCTATAGATTTAAAGCTCGAGCATTGTTTTATAAGACAGAACACCCCATTCGAACCGAGTACGCGTTGGACCTCACATGGAGGGATAGTGCATAATCGGAGAAGAGGAAATTGGTGATCATTCAAGTGTCGAAAGTGAGAGTGCAGTTCCGTGCATCAGGTACAAAGATGACGGGACTCGCTCGGTCTATTTGGGCAACAGATGGGTGATTTGAATATTAGTCCTACAGCTGCTACTTATTACGGAATGTATCCGACTTTATTCAGAGATTGCGAGTCGGTCCACGAACGGATGATGATATACCAAAGAATGCTTCTTCGATCCGCGATGAACAATGATCTTAATGGTGCAGACCAAACATTATTCACCCAGTTGATATGAACAAACCATTATGGTTGGCACACTTGCGTATGGCAATTTTATTTCCGTTATTGGATGCCGTTAAACTTGCGTTGTTACAATATTGTGAAAAGAATGGCGATAGATCTTCGAGGGAATGAGTGGATCAATGATTCATCACTCGCATAATGACCAAAGATTTTAGTTCTTATAGGAGTTTCAGGCATATTCTTCAATGGGAGGATTTCGAGCAGGTGTGGGATCTGCTTTTATCGCGTCACCAGGATTCTTGTCTGTATTCTAGTCATGAAGTGGCTATCGCCTCTATCAAAGCCTTAAATAACCCATTACCTTATTGGCCGACTGCATGGGTTGGGTATGAAAACAATGTCAGGAAGCACGGCTTTCTGGTGCTGAAATTGACAATGAGGCTTCGAACCGAGCTCGAATGTTGCTACGTATTTTATTCAGGAACGATTAGCATCAAACTCATTACCAATTTCATAAACTTTAAATAATGTACTCTATATTTATTCAAATGATAACCCGGCAAAAGTAACATGCACGATTTTATTTTTAACTCAACTCATATTGACATACAGTATGGAAGAATATCGTATTTAATTTATTTGATTGGAAGAGGTAAACTCGTGAATAAAACTCGTTATTACAAGTTTATTCGAAAGAGTGAGTCACTAAATCGTAAGCAGTGGTCGATGCTAACAACTTCGTTTACATGAACAAAAGTCTTTGTAACCGCCACTAAATCCAAACTCTCCCTTACTCCTCGTCAACCTCCCCTAACTCTAAACTTGTCAAGCTGAAATCTGATAAGGGAGGTAACTGATGAGAATTATTCCTTGGTTTAGGCAGATCTCCAGTAGGTAAAAGCGTACTAGAATATTTACTCTCTTTCTCGAGACGTGATAAGGGTTTTACATCATTATGATATATGGTATTCCACGTGCTGTCATCAGAATAGCTCTCGTCAATAAGCTTCTCAATATCATTCCAAAGTCCCTGTATAACTGGACGCCTATCAGGATCAGCATCACAACACCGCTCAGCAAGTTTCTTGTATTCCTCTGGTGCGGAATCAGGCATTGATGGTCGTAGTCCGCCCATAATATCGCATACTAAATCTCTATCGAACTGCCTATCTCGAAAAGGTGGTTCACCAGTGGCAATCAAATACATGATAATGCCAAAGGAATATATATCTGATTTCGTCGTAAATTTGCGAGTATGAAAGATTTCCGGTGCAACAAAGGGTAAAACACCTTGAATATTTGTATTTGACTCGCGCGAATTCATTGATCGCGAGAGACCAAGATCGCATATATACAGGCGCGTTGCAGACTCGTTGTCACCATAATAATGCAAAACTATGTTTCCGCCATGAAGATCACAATGCACTAACCCCACTTGATGAATATTATACAGATAATATGCTATATTCCTCAAATGCACTAATTTATCCATCCATGTCAATTTGTCAATATTTTGATCCAAATAAGACAAAAGACTACCATTGTTAGCATATTCCATAACAATTATGTATTCTTTTGTTTCTGGGTCTTGTGTCACTCCATAAATATAAAGGAAACCGTAAACCCTGTTCGTGCACTTGGCATGATTTCTGAACTATTAAATAAAAATAAATACAGAGTCAAATCAAATATCACTTTAATTAATACTACCAATTATTGCTTACCTCAGAAATAAATAATTCCGGCGTTTCATCAAAACTCTTAAACCGTTTGAGTACAACAATATCTCCCCCAGATATATGTACTTCTCCTTTATATCTGGCAGTATAAACTGTTCCGTAACCACCAGATCCGATCTCTTCGAGTTCATAAAAGTCGCTATACGGCATGTACTTTACACGTTCATTATTTCGTATAAAGCTATCCAATAGTGAGAGTGTGTCATGGTAGAAAACCAAATAATATTCCCGAGTAGATGGCTCCCGAGTGATCCCAATTATCCAAATATTCTCGGGTGTTAATATTTCGGGGTATTCCTTGGTCAGCTATTTGAGTAAACGAATACAGTCATTAAACGCGCGATACACACGTTAAACAAATACAGTCGTTAAACGCGCGATACACACGTTAATACATTTTACACGTGAAATAATTTACCTGATGAAAATCAAACAACTGATCCTTATGATCCTTTTGTTCGTCAACTATCTTTTTGAGTGTCACACGTGTCAATTCGTTTGTTCTCCAATCTGCTATATGTGTGCATTCATGACGTAATGATGTCATCTCTTGTATGTTTGTCAATAGAGAGTATTCAATCCATTGTATATATGCATCAT